TATTAAAAATGAAAAATACAGCATTTATTAAGAGCTACAAAGGACAGGACAATTGTGGAGATATAATCGTCCTGAAATGACACAGTATATAGAAGAAGATTGCTTTTCATTACTACCTTGAATTCTTTTTTGACACTTCTACTGTTACCCAGAGTAATTTTCTATCTACCTTTTAGACTAAAAAAAAGAATTTGTAGTAATTATTTAAATCCTTTTTTTTTTAATCATTTCACCCCAAGCAAAGAATTAAAGCATCTAAGACACCTATAACTACAGAATGAACTCTTCCTAACACTATGTATACTACGTCTCTCAAGAGAGAGGGTCGAATCAAGCCGATCTTTTCGACTTGACGGTCGAACTCTCTGCTTTTGAGCAGAAAGGAACCCGGACGAGGTTCCGCCGAAGGCAGAATCTCGTTCGGGGTGAAATGACCTACCCTATCTCGTTTTACGAGTTATACGGGGCATATTTTTGGCTGAGCCTACGGGCTCAGGGAAACCCACGATAAAATGACCTTGTGTCGCATGCAACCCTCGTCAGCTACTACTGAATCAAGCCGATCTTTTCGACTTGACGGTCGAACTCTGCTTTTTTAGAGCAGAAAGGAACCCGGACGAGGTTCCGCCGAAGGCAGAATCTGTTCGGGGTGAATGACCCACCCTGATCTCGTTTTTACGAGTCATACGGGCATATTTTTTGGCTGAGCCTACGGGCTCGGGAAACCCACGATAAAATGACCTTGTGTCGCATGCAACCCTCGTGGGGGGGTGGCTAGATACTGAATCAAGCCGAGCTTCTCGACTTGACGGTCGAACTCTGCTTTTGAGCAGAAAGGAACCCGGACGAGGTTCCGCCGAAGGGCAGAATCTCGTTCGGGGTGAATGACCTACCCTGATCTCGTTTTACGAGTCATACGGGCATATTTTTGGCTGAGCTCAGCCTCAAAACCCACGATAAAATGACCTTGTGTCGCATGCAACCCTCGTGGGGGTGGTTAGATACTGAATCAAGCCAAGCTTCGTCTTGACGGTCGAACTCTCAGCCTCTGAGCAGAGAGGAACCTGGCGAGGCTCGCCGAAGGGCAGAGTTTCGTTCGGGGAGGTTGACCAACCCGATCCCGTTTATACGGGTTCTATATTTTTTTTTTTGGCTCGGAAAACCCACGTAAAACTCGGCCTTGTGTCACATCTTTCCCTCGTTGGGGGTGAGGGGCAAGTAAATATCGAATCGAGTCGAGCCGATAGTAGTTCACTCCAAACCAGACTGACAGTCATACTAACACCTTCCACATCTTGTATTATTAGTTCATGTAATATACCTTCGTTGTTTCTACTCTTGTGTCCGCGTTGTTCTTCCTTGGTCCTAACCTGGACCATAACACTATCTATCTATCTATCTATCTATCTATCTATCTATCTATCTATCTATCTATCTGTCATGGGTCCTTACCTATAACTACAGAATTAACTCTTCCTAACACTATGTATACTACGCCTCTCAAGAGAGAGGGACGAATCGAGTCGAGCCGATAGTAGTTCACTCCAAACCAGACTGACAGTCATACTAACACCTTCCACATCTTGTATTATTACTTCGTGTAACATACCTTCGTTATTTCTATTCTTGTGTTCGTGTTGTTCTTCCTTGGTCCTAAACTGGACCATAACAGAAAGAATATAAAAAAAAAAAGAAAAAAAATTCTTAAGAAACGAAAACAATAAAATAACAGGAATTAATATTGCACTTAAATTTTGAAGATCAAAATTTACTGAGAAGCAAAAAACCGAATTCCGAGAAAAACATTTAACATTGAAATTACGGATTACATCTAGTCAGTTCAACTTTAAAATGATGAGACCTCGCCGCCAGTCTAGTACTGCGCTTAAATTCATAAAGTCTAGGGTCCCATAGAGGAAAATAATATTTATTTTGTGAAATGCACAAGGCCAAAAAAGTGAGAAGGAGGAAAGCCAGTCTCCAATCTGCCTCATCTTAATGAGACACAATTACTGACTCAAACATACCACAGTATACCTTACACCAAAACAACACATTCTTACTACAGCCACTGCATTACCTAACTAGTCCCCATATGTACAATTTATCTGCGGGGATGGGGGATAGAGGAAAGTACAACAGAACATTTACCATGAAAGAATTGATAGCAAAAGCACAATCAAAGTGAAATGTTCTAAGAGCCAAAATTCTAAGTGTAAATTTACTGTAGATGACTTTGCAATTAAGGCACTCTCTAGACATTTAAAATTTATTACTACTACACCCAAAACAATAAAAGACTTGGTCAATAATAAACAAAACAAAGATTATATGAATAGAAAAGGGACATTTTACAAAATAGTGCGTCAAATGCTTTGGTGGCTCAACGTAACGAGACTGACCACAACTTTTACATAAAAAATGCTACTCTGATCAAAGGTGAAATAATTTATTACGGCGTAAATGTCCGGAGAGTGACTTAATTGAAAGGTCATTTACCGGAAATTTGCGCCTAAAGAGAAAAGTGAAGAAGAAGAAGAAGAAGAAAAAAGATGGGGCAAAGAGAAAAGTGAAGAAGAAGAAGAAGAAGAAAAAAGATGGGGCAAAGAGAAAAGTGAAGAAGAAGAAGAAGAAGAAAAAAGATGGGGCAAAGAGAAAAGTGAAGAAGAAGAAGAAGAAGAAGAAAAAAGATGGGGGCAAAGAAAAAAGAAGAAGAAGAAGAAAAAAAGATGGGGCAAAGAGAAAGTGAAGAAGAAGAAGAAGAAGAAAGATGGGGCAAAGAGAAAAGTGAAGAAGAAGAAGAAGAAGAAGAAAAAGATGGGGGCAAAGAGAAAAGGAAGAAGAAGAAGAAGAAGAAGAAAAAGATTTTCAAAGAGAAAAGTGAAGAAGAAGAAGTAGAAGAAGAAAGATGGGGCAAAAGAAAAAGTGAAGAAGAAGAAGAAGAAGAAGAAGAAGAAAGATATAAAGAGAAAAGTGAAGAAGAAGAAGAAGAAGAAGAAGAAGAAAGAAAGATGGGGCAAAAGAGAAAAGGAAGAAGAAGAAGAAGAAGAAAAAAGATAAAGAGAAAAGTAAGAAGAAGAAGAAGAAGAAGAAGAAGAAGAAAAAGATGGGGCAAAGAGAAAAACATGAAGAAGAAGAAGAAGAAAAATATGGGGCAAAGAGAAAAGTAAGATATAAGAAGAAGAAGAAGAAAAGATGGGGCAAAGAGAAAAGTGAAGAAGAAGAAGAAGAAGAAAGAAGAAAAAAGATGGGGCAAAGAGAAAAGTGAAGAAGAAGAAGAAGAAGAAAAAGATGGGGCAAAAGAGAAAAAAAGAAGAAGAAGAAAAAGATGGGGCAAAGAGAAAAGAAGAAGAAGAAGAAGAAGAAAAAGATGGGCAAAGAGAAAAAAGAAGAAGAAGAAGAAGAAGAAGAAGAAGAAAAGAAGAAGAAGAAGAAGAAAAAGATGGGGCAAAGAGAAAAGAAGAAGAAGAAGAAGAAGAAAAAAAGATGGGGCAAAGAGAAAAGTGGAAGAAGAAGAAGAAGAAAAAAAAAGATGGGGGCAAAGAGAAAAGTGAAGAAGAAGAAGAAGAAGAAAAAGATGGGGGCAAAAGAGAAAAGTGAAGAAGAAGAAGAAGAAGAAAAAGATGGGGCAAAGAGAAAAGTGAAGAAGAAGAAGAAGAAGAAGAAGAAAAAAAAAGAAAAAGGAAGAAGAAGAAGAAAAAGAAAAGAAAAGAAGAAGAAGAAGAAGAAGAAGAAAGATGGGGGCAAAGAGAAAAGTGAAGAAGAAGAAGAAGAAGAAAAGATGGGGCAAAGAGAAAAGTGAAGAAGAAGAAGAAGAAAAAAGATGGGGCAAAGAGAAAAGTGAAGAAGAAGAAGAAGAAGAAAAAAGATGGGGCAAAGAGAAAAGTGAAGAAGAAGAAGAAGAAGAAAAGATGGGGCAAAAGAGAAAAGGAAGAAGAAGAAGAAGAAAAAAAAGATGGGGAAGAGAAAAGAAAGAAGAAGAAGAAGAAGAAAAAGATGGGGCAAAGAGAAAAGTGAAGAAGAAGAAGAAGAAGAAAAAGATGGGAAAAAGAAAAGTGAAGAAGAAGAAGAAGAAGAAGAAAGATGGGGCAAAGAGAAAAGTGAAGAAGAAGAAGAAGAAAAAAGATGGGGCAAAGAGAAAAGTGAAGAAGAAGAAGAAGAAGAAAAAAGATGGGGCAAAGAGAAAAGTGAAGAAGAAGAAGAAGAAGAAAAAAGATGGGGCAAAGAGAAAAGTGAAGAAGAAGAAGAAGAAGAAGAAAAAGATGGGGCAAAGAGAAAAGTGAAGAAGAAGAAGAAGAAGAAAAAAAAAGATGGGGCAAAGAGAAAAGAAGAAGAAGAAGAAGAAGAAAAAAAAAGATGGGGCAAAGAGAAAAAGTGAAGAAGAAGAAGAAGAAGAAAAAGATGGGGCAAGAGAAAAGTGAAGAAGAAGAAGAAGAAAAAAAAAAAGATGGGGCAAAGAGAAAAGAAGAAGAAGAAGAAGAAGAAAGATGGGGCAAGAGAAAAGTGAAGAAGAAGAAGAAGAAGAAAAGATGGGGCAAAGAGAAAAAGTGAAGAAGAAGAAGAAGAAAGAAGAAGAAAAAAGATGGGGCAAAGAGAAAAGTGAAGAAGAAGAAGAAGAAGAAAAAAGATGGGGCAAAGAGAAAAGTGAAGAAGAAGAAGAGTGGAGGCAAATGAAGAGAATGGATGAGAACAACAGTTGGAATATGAGAAAAATTAGAATCCAAGTCATTTCGTGTGATTAATTGATATGGGGAAAAAAACATCCGTAAATGCGTTTTTATTTCTTTATATTTACCGTTTTCTTCTTTTCTTTTTGTATTTTTTTACCTTAATGCTCATTGGTCCGGAAGTACAATGACGTCAGAAGTGCATCGAGTGATGGAATGTTATTTTGTAAACAAGTAACTGAAGACGGTGAATTTTCAAGGGAAAAATAAAATTCGGAGAAAGACAAGAGAAAAACAAAACAAATAATGGAGAAAAAAAGCGTTCACAGAAAATCAAGATTTTAAAGAGAGAGAGGGAGAAAAGGTGAGAAGAAGAGAAAAAGAGAAAGGAAGACAGTAAGAGAGAAATACAGGGGAAGACAAAGAGAACAGAAGAAAGTGGAAGAGGAAAGTTAAAGTAGAAAGGTGCAAAGATAAATGAGGCCGGAAAGAAGAGAAAAGACTAGAAGGAAAACTAGAAAAAGAGAAAGGAAAAAGAAAGACAACCAGGAAAGAGAGAGAGAGAGAGAGAGAGAGAGAGAGAGAGAGAGAGAGAGAGAGAGAGAGAGAGAGAGAGAGATAGATAGAGAGAGATTGGGGGGCACCAGCTACCGAACTAGCGAGATGATAGCTAGCTAGACGGGAACAAAGTGAGATAGATAGATAGATAGATAGATAGATAGATAGATAGGAACAAACCTAGATAGATACTTACAGAGGACAGATACATTGCTACTTAGCTAGATAGATAATAATCAACTTGAGAGATAGAGAAGGACATGGCTTAGATGGAGATGGTTTAAATAAATACGGACATATAGATAAATCTGAACAACCTGGTATAGATAGATAGATAGATAAACAAACTGAGAGAGAGAGAGAGAGAGAGAGAGAGAGAGAGAGGGGGGGTAGATGAAGAGAGTTTAAATAAGCATGTACAGATAGATAGACCTGAACAACCTGGGATAGATAGATAGATAGATAGATAGATAGATAGATAGATAGATAATAAACAAACTGAGAGAGAGAGAGAGAGAGAGAGAGAGAGAGAGAGAGAGAGAGAGAGAGAGAGAGAGAGAGAGAGAGAGTTTAAATAAGCATGTACAGATAGATAGACCTGAACAACCTGGGATAGATAGATAGATAGATAGATAGATAGATAGATAATAATAAAACAAAGAGAGAGAGAGAGAGAGAGAGAGAAAGAGAGAGAGAGAGAGAGAGAGAGAGTTTAAATAAGCATGTACAGATAGATAGACCTGAACAACCTGGGATAGATAGATAGATAGATAGATAGATAGATAGATAGATAGATAATAAACAAACTGAGAGAAAGAGAGAGAGAGAAAGAGAGAGAGAGAGAGTTTAAATAAGCATGTACAGATAGATAGACCTGAACAACCTGGGATAGATAGATAGATAGATAGATAGATAGATAGATAGATAGATAGATAGATCTGAACAAACCTAGATACATAGGTAAAACAACCTGAGAGAGTGAGAGAGATAGAAAGAGTGTGCGAGGGAGAGGCAGGGAGAGAGCGAACGAAAGAGAAAGTGAGAGAGTATAAAAAGCCCGGAACATGGAGAGCAAAACATTTCCGAAAAATAAACAATTTCAGACGATACAATAAAATTATGGATCAACTAAAAAAGGAATCCTTTCCAGGATGTTTCGGAAATTAAAAGAGGAACTTTGATTTTTGGAAATTCTTTTTCTATGTTTAACTCTTCGTCTTTTCATTGCTTTTTTACTGTTTTATTGAGTTTTTTGTTTATACAATTTTTCTTCTCTCGAACAATTCAGCTTTTTCACATTCTATGAAATTCATTTTTATTTATTTCCCCAATATTTCATTTATTTCATTATTTCATGTTTCTATATTCCTTTGAATTACGTTATTTTATTTTACTGGCTTCTTTCTTTCTTTCTTTCTTTCTTTCTTTAATCATTCAAATGTTTCAATATTGAAATCGTGGCTCATTCATTCTCTTTTTCTTTGATTAATTCTCTTTTTCTTTGTTTTTTTAAGCATTCCTTCATTTCATTTATCTTTCTTCTTTCTTTTCTTATTTAAATCATTCCTTTTTTATTCAATTCTCTATCTTTTTTCTTTCTTTCTTTCTTTCTTCTTTTCGTTGCTTTATTCATTCTATCTTTCTTTGTTTCTTTAATCATTTCTTTTTTCATTCGCTTTTTTTCTTTTCTTTTTTAAATCATTTAGTTTTTATTCACTTTCTTTCTTTCTTTCTTTCTTATTCATTTTTATACAATCCATTCCTTATATTTTTCATTCTTTTATAAAGCAAGTAAAATATGAATGAAAGAAAAAAAATTTTTTTTTCTGTTTTCTTTTTCCTAGACGTTTTCATTCGTTTCATTTCCTTTTATTCTTTCATTCTTACTGTTTTTCTTTCGTATTTATTTTTTACACTATTTTTCTTGCATTCGTTCCTATAATTCATTTCTTTCTTGTCGGCCATCTTAAGCTGAACGACGAACGATGAAAAATACACAGTAACAGAATAAAAAATAATCGTCAGCATTTATTCCTTTTTTCCCTCCCCCCTCCCACCATTAGGAATGTTTTAATGCATTTCATAGCTTTCAGTATTTATTTATTTTTTTTTTTTTATCAACAACCCAAAATAGGTTCAATTGTGTGGGTGTCAATTGGGTTAAGAAGCTTCGGTTTTACTAATCTTTGTCACTTGAAAAATGGCACTTGAAATATAAACTTAATTGTATCAAAATACGGACTGACTTCTATATTTCAATGCCTAGGGGATCATGGCTTTTCTAAACTTCCTATCTTTGGAGCTCTTAGCAATGTTTGTCTTTTTATTGTCTCCCCCGCTTTCTGTTCGGACATCATTTACAAAAGCTGGTTAGGTAGTTTACACACTGTTTCTCTCCTTCCCTCCTGCCGCCGATATTCCCTGTGAGAGTCAATTTTTCCAAACCTCCTTTCCCCATGATGTGTCTCAGAAATTTCAACGGTCTCTTTCTGGTTCGAAGTATAGGTGACCTTTTTGTTTCGCGTTTCCTTAAAACTCCCTTGTTGCTTTCATGTTCCGTCCATTATATTCCCAGCATCCTTCAGTAGAACCATATCTCAATTGCTTCAAGTCCTCTTGATCTATTAGGAAATTGTTAACCATTTTCTGCCATATAGGAGGATTGTAATTTTCCTGTTTTATAATACTTTTTGTTTCGTTTTTGTAAGCTATAGCCATATGTCTGTCTGTCTCTCTCTCTCCACACACACACACACACACACACATATATATATATATATATATATATATATGAAGAAATATAGTTTTAAGGTGTGCTATATTTATGAGATAAAGTGCTCAATATCAGAGATAGAGCGTATGTAAATTTAAATATAAAAGTGAACATTGAAGTCAACATTCAGAAGCGACAGGCTGTTTCCTGCTGAACGTAATTGTCGGCCTGACGATTGCGTCTAGCATGAAACAGCCTGTCACCTCTGAGTGCTGACTTCAATGTTTATATTTATATATATATATATATATATATATATATATATATATATATATATATATATATATGTATGTATGTATATATGTATGTATGTATGTATGTATGTATGTATGTATGTATATCGGTTGTAACAGCAAAATTGTTTAAATCGTGTAACAGTAAAATTGTTCAATTGTTATATTAAGCTTTGAAACGTTGTATCTTAGAAATGATTAAAGATATCTTACTGAATTCTCCGAGATAGAAATGAAAAATGATATGTTTATCTTTAATTAATCATAGCTAAGGATCGAAGCTCATTGATATAAAGTTAATATATATATATATATATATATATATATATATATATATATATATATATATATATATATATTCCAGGATCATTTTACGACTTATTCATATGATGTTCATCGTCTAACCTTCTAATCTTCTGGTCCTGGATTAACAAGTTCCCTCAGAAGGTTCACGTACGACTCCATTTTCAAATCTTTCTTTCATTGCTCTTTGGACTGTCATAACTGAAACTCCTCTCTCAGGTGCCAAAGGTCATATGGATTAAGTTGGATCTTTTCTAATTGATCTTTTTAGCTCTAAGTTGAAATGATGCTCTCTTTTGCTGTTATGACCACCCTGATCCATTTTTCCTCTCTACTCTTCCCGTTTTAAACTTGTTCACCGTTTTATTGATGGTCCTTGAATGGATTTTTAACATGGAAGCCAAAGTATGAATGTTGGTACCATTACTGTAGACTTGAATGATCTTTTTCCTCTCACTATTTCTCATTTGGGAAGACAGTGGGACTGACACAAAACGATTTTAACCTGTTCTCTTTTTAGCTGAACAACTTAAAGAGTTTTTCAGTGATTCTTACAACAAATGGTGTCAAAACGTTTTATCTGAAAACCTGGAAAAAATTCAGTTAATATAGTGTTTTTTTTTTTGTTTTGTTTTTTTAGATATTAATCATTTTGTGGGATGGACAATTATCTCACGCTGTTACACGATTTGGACATTTTTGCTGTTACACTCGTTAGGAATATGTATGGAATTATTAAAGAAACATCAAAATCATTGGTGGAAAGAACGGGCAACTTGCCAAAAGACATAAATATTCTTAAACAAGATCCTTCTCGAACAAGGACAGAAATAAAAAAAGAAAACAAAAGGCAAACACCTACGTTCTCAATAATGTAAATTATCCTATGCCTTGGCTACCTTGACAGAAGAGCAAAAGCGGTTGACGGCGTTATTTCCTATGAAAGGCTGGTCCTAGCCGTAACACGGGTTTGACGCTCACGCGATCTTCAAACAACTTGAACGTCTCCCAGTTGCCTGAAGATCGTGTGAACGTAAAATTCGAGTTACCATTAGGTCCATACTTTCATATATATATATATATATATAAATGGACAAAGTCCGACAATTTATTTATTAAAGACATTTTATGCTTAACGTTCTTTTATAGATACAAGTATTTAAGTAAATGCTCTGTTTATGATAAACAGTATTAAATAACATTTACCGGTCTGGATGTCCGAGAAATTTTCATGGGACGAATATGAAAATTTCTCGGACATTCAGGCCAGTAAATGTTATTTAATACTGTTTATTATAAACACAACATTTACTTAAATATTTGTATCTATAAAAATAATGTATAAACACAAAAATGTCTTAAAATAATTGTCGGACTTTCTCCATTTCATAATGTGTGATCTCATTTGCTTGCATTTGATACACCATGAGCAGACACGAATGTACATGATAGATTCATAGAAGATTGACGTTCAAATACAGTAAAGGCACGTCAAGCTAAATGACGGCTCCGTATAGGATACAGGTTCGAATCCTGTCAGAAGACGAATATTTTCCGTATCATTTACTTAAATATTTGTATATATAAAAAGAATGTATAAACATAAAAATGTCTTTATATATATATGTGTGTATGAAAGTATGGACCTATATATATTCTTTCATCCTTTCAATTTATACGTAAAGAAGTAAAAAGAATCTGTGGAGAGCCATGATCGCCTACCTCCTAAAGGGACATAGAATTACAAAATGTAGTAATATAACTTTCTGACCTTTGTATGATTTCTGCTTTTTCTTTTTTTTCATTTTTAGCAAATCATTTGATTTCTTATAGGTCTTTTAAAACATTGTACCTGTTTTTTTTGCTTTCTCGCCTTTTGTTTATGCCTGTTTTTTCATCATATTTGTAATGGTAATTTAATTTAGATTGTGAAGAGTAGTGACTATAGATTATCTCCCCTAGAAAAACAACATGGAAGTTGTCAATACTCAGTTTATATCTCTGATTAATTGACTATCGACCACTGCGATGTTACAACAATGTTCCGTTTTCTTTTATTGTTTTGAATTTATTTTTCGTTATTTTATTCTTCTCTTTCTTTTTTTTCTTACCGCCATTCCAAATTTCCCTTTCTTTTGAAATTCTTTTGATTACATACGCTTTACTTTTCATTCATTCGTTGTTGCCTCCTTTTCGGCATTTATATTTTTAGCATCTATTTTGCTCAGTTTTTTTCATTTTCTTTCTTTCTTTCTTTAAGTCATATTGATTTTCACTTTCTCCCTTTTCTCTTCATTCCAATTTTTCCATATTAATCTTTTTGCACTTTCATTTCGTCAAACCCATTTTCCCAACACTTTTTTCATTCTTTCTCCATTATTCTCCCTTTTCTTAAGAAAAATTTTCCATATCTTTCTTCTTTTTTATTTACCTGTTACCCTTCTTTCTTTTCATTCTATCCACATTTCGGCTCTTTCTTTCCTAAAGTTATATTACTTTTCTCTCCATTTCTAAATTTCTCCCTTTCTTCTGCATTCCAAATTTTCAATATCAATCTTTTTACTCCTTCTTTCTTTCTTTCTTTCTTTATTTATTTATTTATTTCTCATTCAGTTTCACTTTCTCCATTTTTCTTCATT